AAGAGTGGAAATCTGAAATAAAACAGGTAGTTATGGCTCAGATTTCCCCAAATTCATACAGAGATGGAAGAGCAGCCCTGGTGATCTGTGAGACTATAAACAAAGCCAAAGAGATCTACGAAGAGCTGAAAAGCAGCATCCCAGGTGAAATCATTCTCTACTGCCGCAGTAACAATGACAGTCTGAGCAAAATAAATAAGGAACTTTTTCCTGGTGATGTCATTGTTGCCACAAACCTTGCCGGGCGTGGCACAGACATAAAAGTGTCCAAACAGGTGAACAACAATGGAGGATTATTTGTGATCCTCTCCTTCCTTTCTGAGAACACAAGAGTGGAACTTCAGGCTTTTGGTCGAACTGCACGCAAAGGTAAACCTGGATCTGCTCAGATAATCATGTCCACTGAATACCTGCAGCAGTCTTTCAGGACAGTGTCTTCTCTGGAAGAAGCTAAGAGCACGAGGGATAGACTTGCAGCAAAAAAGACAAATCACATGATGAACGATGTCACTGAGTTGAGACTTCGGGAGGACCTGTTCTCAGAGTACTGCAAAACTCTTGAAGATATTCATGAGAACACAGATGGAGATGACAGAGAAGCTGTTGTTGCAATCATGAATGAGTTCTGGGGGATGTGGCTGCAAATTAAATCAGAAGAAATTGAACAGTTGAAGAGAGAAGAATTGCAAAAGAGTTTGAAAGATGATTTGTCATGGGCAAAAAGTCAGTCTCAGAATCAGACTTCACCTTGTTCCAGCATTTATCACTACATCAAGTTTGGAAATATCGCACTGAGTGAAAAACAGTGGGACATCAGCAGAAGGCTCTTTGAAAAAGCCATGAAACAAGATGGAAGTTGGGCAGCTATAGCTTTCTACAATCATGCGTACTGCACCATAAAGGAGCAGAATACCGATTACCTCACTCAGGCCAGAGATGATCTAACGAAGGCACAGGAGTCTCTGAAGTGTGTTAGTGAGGAGTTAATGGTCTGTCTGCAGCTTGTAAAAATGTCCTCTGTTGACTCAGCCAACAGCAACCCCACCAGCCTTGAAAAACAGTTCACAACGAAGTGCACGATGTTAGGTTACATTGACAAAAACATTAGTGAGGCCATCCAAAAGCTGGATGAAATAAACGAAAAAGGTTGCGATGCAGTGGCCAATAAATCAATAATTTTCGTCCTGGTGTCGAATGCTGATGATAATGATCTCCATGAGGGAGCCTACAACCTCTACAGTCAGGGTCTGAAGTATGTGTTTTCTGTGGAAGAGGAGCCCCGTTTCCCATGGGAAGCTCTTCTAGTGTTCGGCCTTGGAGTTTTACAGATTATTGGAGGAACATTGCTCACTGCATTTACGTTTGGTACATTTGCTCAAATCGGCATGGCACTCATCAGTGAAGGAATATCCGACTGCATTTATAGCATAGAGGCCATGGTGACAGGAGAATTCAGCTGGAAATCATGGGCTATACATAAAGCCATTTCTATTGGTGTGTCTCTCCTTGCGTTTGGAGTTGGAAAGTTGATTTCGAAGGGCTTCAAAGCTTGTAAAGTGTCAATTACGGGATTTGGCAAAGAGCTGAAGTTGATCCCAAAGTTTCTCTCCAACCAGGCTAAAGCCGGTTTAAGTGTTATGACAAAGACAATTATGAAGACTGCAGTACAACACACTGCTAAAATAATGATTGAGGAAATCATTTTGTATGGAGTGGGGAAGGTAGAAAATAAAATCCTGACAGAAATACTAGACAGCATCAGAAATGAGGTGAAAAAAAGAATTCATGACAACATGAAATCCAACTTGGAAAAAGAACCCTTGGCTACATCAGTAGACCTTGTTATCCTCTCACACATTGAAGATGAAAAGCAACTACATGATCTCCTGAAGGAAAAGAACAGAAAGCGTGAACTCCTGGACATTTTCAGAACATTAAGCAACACTGCAGTACAGCCTTTCTATGCAGACCTCAGCTGGCAGAACAAGCTTAGTTCATCCTTCTCCACAGTGATTAACAGAGCTAAAGCAGAGGCCAGAGGAAAAACACGTTTAATTTTGACAGCCATCCAAGTTGCCCACATGGGGGTGTTGGCAGGAGACGCCATCAATGCAGTTCTCAGCCTCTCCAGCAAGTTTTTCTCAAACCTTCATGAACAGCTGAATTCATTTAAAAAAGAAAACGTTTTTTCAGAGAAAGTGAAAGTAAATGAGCTCTCTGATTCAAATACTGAGCCGCTGAGAGAATTCAAGCAGGATTTAACCGACACCATCAGTGATTTACTGGCTGATGCTATGGTACAAGTGTTCCACCAGAAGTTCTCCAGTCATGTTGTTTCTCATGTTCAAAACAAAGTAAATGGCATCATTCGGAGTTATGTAAGAACTGGCTTAAAGAGTGAAAGAACAGAGGAAAAACTCAGAGCTGGACAGAACAACAGATACATTGCATACATGCCAGTAGTCCCAAATTCTGAACATGAACATGCAGGAGTGAGAGGTGACCACTCACAGTCACATGCTGAAAAGATCATGGACGCCACGACTGAGGGAACCATTCTCGATATCAGAGTCCTGGCAGAAACCACCGACACTAAGGTTGTCATCCTAACAGAGAATAGCCATGGAAGTCTTACCAAAATACAGGAGTTGAGCCCTGGCACCGAACCCGCCAGTCAAACCGTGACACTGATCTACAGACCAAAGAGTGCCCAATACCCAGATGGCCATTATGATGTGCACATCAATAATCAGACAGTGAACATAGTCAGCGAGGGAAAGGGCTGCCTGTTTCATGCTTGGGCACGAAGCATGAAACCAGAGGCCAGTGAAGAAGAGATTGCTCAGGAAGCATATGACCTCCGATCTGTGGTGGCCGACACTCTCCTGAGACACACAGGCCGATGGGAGCCTTTCGTTAAGCGCAAAGACTGGACTGAAGAGATCCGAGGAGGGGACTGGTACATGCTACAGGGAGCTGCAAAAAAGCTCAAAAAGATTAAAGAAAGTGAAGCACTACTTGATGAAATGGTTGGAACAATTGTACCATACAAAGACTGGATAAAACATACAAAACAAAATCCAGGAATTGGACAGTTCATCAATGCAGATCACCAGCCAGCAGTGAGTAGTATGTTAGAAGCTATAAAACTGAACCAGAACAGCAGATTAGCAGAAGCCATGCTTGAAGTGGCAACAGACTCTTCTCCTCTGAATAACAACCTGATTCCTGATGTGCACAAATATCATGGTCCTGGACTCCCTACTGTTCTTGTGCCTAAAGAATTACATCGTGAGTTTCCCAGTACAACATCAAAAGACTATAGAAACTGTTTAGCTATCGCGATAAGCAAAGATGATGTGGTGGGGACCTTCAAACTGATGATTATTGGCTCTATGCCGAGATCTGAATTGGATGGCACCAAAAACTTCAAAGACTTTCAGAATACCAAGATGAGTAAAACCAGACTTGCCAGTTTTGAGAAAAGTTTTCAGCAACACAGTACAGAGATGGTAGAGGGATGGTCTAATGTGCTTCAACCCAAGGGAGTCATGACAAATACAGATCTTACCACCATTACTGAATGGATCAACAAGAAGGGCTACAATGATCAAAACGATCTACACAGGAACCAAGTCTCTAACCTCCTATAATGAAGAGGTTCATTATGTTCATCATGTTTGTGGTATTAGATTAGTTAAAAAAAGGTAGGCGCATTGAGTAAAGCCATATGTTCGTAGAGCAGTTCTGCCCACCATGGCAGGAGGCCCATATTAGTGAAGGAGCAATGGATGATGGAGGGCAAGAATCAGTGTTGATTTCCTGATATTTTTAGGAACTTTTTATACAGTATGGGTATCATATCAAATTTAAAACCATTGGTATCGCCCATCCCTCGTGCAAAGGTTTGAACGGTTGTGACATGTGGAAATGTAGTACTGTCCATAAAGAATCATACTGTAAATATTGATGTTGTATGTAAAGACCTATCACTGGAACTAGTGATCGTTTTAACCTTTAACAAGACTTAGATTGATACAGTGAAACCGCTCCTTGCCTCGTCTCAAACCTGACGGCAGGATGCTGCTGTGGTTGTATGCATTACACTGTTAATACCTGTGTGTGAGGTTGTTTGTGCTGCGTGGATCTGTTTGTACTGTTCTTCAATAATAAATGAATGTTCACGCTGATATCGCTCTGAACTCAGTGGCTGATTCTTTCAAACACTGTTACACTGATAAAATGTTTCTGTTCATTTTCAGTAAACTTTAAAGCTATAAGAAAGTGGTGGAGACAGGCAGTGCCTGGCCGCCAGCGTTTGAATGGGGACACTTTGTCTTATGTCACATGATACAACAGAATTTAATACGTTCTCACAGGCTATGGACACAGAGAGTACGTGGCCAATGTGTGAACTATACAAGGGCTTTCTACTGTCAAAAGTTTACACATAATCCCCAATGAAAACAAATGCACGGCAGAATAACACATCGCAGTCCCTCCAGGAAGCTCAACCGGTGAATTCTTGCAATTTTGTCCAATCACTGCAACATTTTTTGCAAACTTGCCGTCGTAGGTACCTGCACTACATGTTGAATCACCAAACTTAAAGACACAAACGTCTCACACTGACTCTCCAAACAGCCGACTTTATTCTCACTGCCTTCAATTTTTTATGCATTATTTCACTTTTTGTTTTGGAGAAAAACATGCATCGCAATTTTGTAGAAAGGTTGCCATGCAATCAGACAATTAGGCCAGAAAAACCGCCCACACAATACTGGAGGGGTTTATATTGTCAAGAGACTCCCCGAATCACAAATCATGTTTTCAGGGGAGCTTGTGTCTTATTAGGAGGATCCGAGCTCGTTGTACGTGATTACTGTGGACTATACTTTAAAAAGCGGCTACAGAACGAATTTCATCGAATGTTTTTCCATGTTTAAAGTTCAGAAGTAGGCTGAGCTAACCGAGCAGAGGTTCCCAACCTTTTTCTATCATTGAGTAAACTGATGATTACTTTATGGATATTACATATTATATTTAAAACTGTGTATTTTCTGTATAACAACACCACTGATTGATCAGCAACGGCATGAATTGGATTGGATTTTGGCTCCAAACAGCTAAAAGTTCAGTGGGCAATATCCGGTCCGCACAGTAGGGGGCGCTGATGTCGGTCGTACCCGCTATTAAACCGGAACGAAGAAGAAGGAGGAGGAAGAGTTAGAAGAAGAAGGAGGAGCCGGAAGCAGAAAGTCGCGGTGTGCGCGTTCAGTCTCTCAGTTGAAGATGGCGGACACAGAGGGTGAGTGTGCTGCACGTTCTCCTCAAAACATTTAAACTTTAGAAACTCTGTAAACTCTGAGTGAGCCGGTTGAAGTGCGCAGACTCAGTTACTGCCGCTCTGCACGCGTCCACTCAGGCGCCGAACTGCACTGAGGAAACCGAGATTTTAATTAGTTTTTGTGATTTTCGGGTAAAGTCTAAAGTATTTTTTAAGGAGTAACTGTTGTTTCTCGGTCCTCTCGCTGCGGTTGTAAGTTCGGCTGCTGTCTCGTGCAGCGACCCTCAGCACTGGGGGGGCTGTCGGAGGTTTTCCAGCCGGGGGGGCCTGCTCTGCCTGCACGCGCTCGCTGCCTGCAGGAGCCACGTGCAGCGGCTCGCTTTGATCGACAGTTTGTCAGATTCTGATCGCACTGATCAATAAACTGTTATTAATCCACCAGTGGGGGTGTCACCGTGCAGCGGGTCCACTGTGGGGGAGGGTGGTGGGGGGGGCGCGTGTTTTCTCTCAGACTCAAAGTGACTGTCAGCTAACTGTTGGCTGTTATTGGTGATTAATAACTGATCAGTATCCGATCGATCAGGCGCTCCTTTCATGGCCTCTATACTGTAGATGCAAGCGCGTGATTATGGGATGTTCGGGTTGTGTCGGTTCACACCGGCCTGTTAGCTCTGCGTGTTAGCCTTATGCTAACAACCACGTGTTGTGCGACAGGCCACGTGGGCTGCTTCTCTTACCTCATCAATAATCACTATTGAACATAAATCAGTGAATCAATCCAAAATGAATCCGGTTGTGATGAAGAAACAATTTCTCTCAATTCAACAACGTTTAATAAACATTAAAATACTGCAGTTAGTGTAGATATATATTTATATTACTGTAGTT